CTCAGGACTTCCTCCCTGCGTGCCCCCGACTCCTCACGATTCTGCTTGGCAAGTTCTGCCCGCCGCCGCTCCTCCTCCTCGCGCTCCTTCTGCAGGGCCCGAAGCTCCTCCTCCGCCTGCCGTTTCACCTCCTCGGCCTCCTTTGCCCGCCGCTCCCGCTCCTGTTCCACCCACTTTGCAGCATCTGTTCTTTGTGCCCGTATTTGTTGTGCCTTTTGTGTCACCCATTCTTGATGACGATTGCGAGCCTCATCTATCTTGTTTTGAAGTGCTCGCCGTCGTCGAGTTCGTTGTATGCTCCCGATTAGTTGCGGAGTTCCGTTCAGTGTTGGTTGATGTGGTGGGGACTTATCATCATTAAACTGGTTCCCTTTGTGGGGTCGATTTAATGCGTTTGGCGCTGTAACAGCTGGCATACGAAGTCAAAGGATGCGGAGTTAGGCAATAAATTGTAACGGTTAGACTCTTCCTTGTAAGGGATAAAAATATGTAGGAGAAATACAGGGCGGATGTATCACCGCGACGCAGTAGTGGAGAGTGAGAAGAACAGTAAATAAAAAAAGAATCAAAGCAAAAAAAAAAGCAAACAGAAATGATGTGCGGCCAAACACCACTTCTCCCACCTGCCGCAGACACAGGGGGTGTGGCGTTAACGGAGCTTGTTAAACCCAATATGCGTGGCATTTTCACGGAAGCACTGGCGGCACACGTTGAGCTCGTACTTGCGGATAATTGCCTTCTGGTTAGAGCAAATCACGCAATGGCGAGAGCCCTTGCCCATGCCGATCTTCTGACGGGAACGCCATTGTTCGAGGTGGCCCATTCTTCTTCCTGAGTGATGTGGGGAGCTAAGCAAGTGACACTGGCACTGCGCCAGACACAAAAACAAAAGTAGCAAGAGAAAAGGCAGGCAACGTTGCAAGAGAAAAACCAACCAAAGTGAAACCAAAGCTTTCATCCAGCACAAAAAATAAAAAAATAAAAATAGAAACTGTGTGTCTGGATGAGACCGTGTAACCCCCTCCACCCCCCTCCTCCCTTATTCCTACAAAGTACCACTAAGAGAGACCATTGTGTTGGTTCACGGTGCGCCCAGCACACACACCTCGAAGAGGCCTCGCATCCAACGCTTATGCACCTATGGCCCCACGTGTATCTGCAACGCACACGCCATGAGGACCGGAATCCTGTTGCGAAACGTCGTGGTGGAGCTCTTTTACGGCCCGCCGCAGCTGCCGAACCCACCCCGCGCAGAGGGTCGTAGGGGATGGTGGCAGAAAAAAAAGGAGCCGCACCTGTTACTTTCCAACGTGGCTTCCTTGGAAGCAAAAGCCAACCACATAAAGAAATAGACAAAGACGTCCAAACAAACGTCTCACCCTCTGTCCAGCCGCATCTGCTTGCACACGCTCGCCCCAAAAGCCACAAGTGCAATGAAAACAATCTCATCGCCTCCACCGCATTGTGCGTGTCAGCCCCCCATGCCGTCAAAGCGGAAACACGCTTATTGCTGGTGTGTGTGTGTGTGTGTGTGTGTGTGTGCGTGCAAATGCTCGGTTCTGCGTTTTCAGTGTGCTGCCCGCCACTCCATGTTTATTTGCTTTGCTTTTTACCTGCTCTTCCAACAGCTGTGCCTCAAGGGAACGTCATCGCTCGACCTCACAGCACCCTTTATTTTATTATAGCATCCTTTACTTTTCACCTCCCCCTGGGTGAAACTCGACAGCTGTCCTTTTGTTTGTTTGTTCTCTCCTCCCTTGTGTACGCTCATGCACTCCCGCTTCCACCGTCACGGGCCACTGGCGCTTAGCGGCTCCTTTCAAGGAGCCCCAACCAAATAGCGCGGTCCGCCATGAGAGAAACGGCGCTCTCCGCAGAACCCTCCACGGGGTTGTAGGCCTCCTGCACCCACGGAGTCTCGCCGCTGGTTTTCAGCATAGACGACCGCAGCTGATTGAACAGCTCTGTCGCTGGCTCCCCAAGCAGACCAATGTATTTCGTCCTCAGGGCATGCG